ATATACATGCTATACAAACGGCATAGCGGTCAATTTTTACGAAGAGCAATGCATCAAAGCAGCAGCAGCAGTCGTTAAAAATTGCCTTTCTCCATAGTGCTCATTTGACGAGCGAGAGCATAAATAGTCACCCACAGACAGTCTGTTTCGTTGTATCACAGCTCATCAGTGTGTTTAGACATCTGATTGCTTGAAGTTGGGATCGAAACTCGACCGATTAGACATCAGTAAGAGACTCTTACCCCTAGGCTACACGACAGAAAAAGGGAATTTTTTAACGCTTTATATATGTGATATATAAGCAGCATAGCGGGAGCCAAAGCGCTGAATAGCTTAAAAGCGGCCCTATCGGGCAGCATTTAAGCTAGCCCCTGAGGAGGGCTTTTGATTGGGCCTCCATCACAGTAGGTAGGGAGAAATAGATGCGATAGGCAACAATAAACTACAGATGAATTCAAAATTGGTCGCTGCATTTAAGTATTACATTAATATTTAAGCTTACCTTTTAAAAGTTCTGCTGCCACTTAATTTGAATACAATTTGATGTACGTAGGTCCTTACTTTCCGTACAAACAATTATTTCTATTTCATGGGTGACTTTCGCTGAATTTTGCAATTAATTAATGCGATTATTCCCAAATCTATTTACAAGTTATAAAAATTGTTATCATACAAAAAAAAAAAAAAATATGTCGCAAAAAATCCCGTACAAAAGTCGCCGAAAACAATTGCAATAATGAAAACTCAAAATTTCAGGATTGCGTGTCCGGAATCGGCCCCGGATTTTTTTTTTTTTTTAATTTGATCACGGAGTCAGCCTGATTCCAAAATGGTAAGATATGTTAGGTTACGGCCTCTGGAGTAAAATTGAAAAAGTGTGACACAGTGACACACTAACATTCGCATATGATATTATATAGAAAAATAAATAATTTCGGATTAATAAATGAAAAATTATTTTAATAGTAAGATTTTGTAAGTTTACACTGACAGTAGCACAGATTGTTCGATCAATGAAAGCTGAATGTTTCCTTATAAGGAAACGCCTAATATTAGCATTATCATTAGAGATGAGGAGAACAGATATTACACTTTGATCTTCAGCCCAATGACCAGGGTGTGATAAAGGGTAATTAGATTAGCACTGACTGCACGGTCAGTGACTGCTAATTTTTTCTTTATTGGGGAACTGCTATTTACAATTACCATTTGGCTATGACGATAAACTACATCCGCATCCTGGGTAAGACGATAAACTACGTCCAGCAGCAAGGCCTCTGATCAGGAGGTTTTGAGGAGCATGGAACCACATCTTAATTGCTAGTGTTACCAGGTCCACCCTGACCTGGGGTGGTAGCACCTGTTAGGGTCCCAGCTATGGGCAAACTTGTGTAAAAATAGGTTTTAATACCAAAAATACTTTGTAATAATAAAAAAAATTATTACCAGCAATAATTTTTGAAGGAAAAATTATTATCAGCAATACTTTAAAAAAATACCAGCAATACAAACAGCTATACATTCTTTGAAAAAAATATGGCCAGCTATAGATTTCTTCAAGGAAAAATATTCCCAGAAATAGATTTTTGAAGAAAACATATTACCAGCAATAAAAAATGTTGTCGGCATTAAATAATCCATTGAGGTTGATATACCGTAAAACAAAATAAACCAAACCAATCTAAACCCATATTCTATTCATACCAAACCTAAAAATGTTGTCGGCATTAAATAACATTGAGGTTGATTCTAAAAAAAAATAAACCAAACCAATCTAAACCAAAGAATCTATTCATACCAAATCTAAAAATGTTGTCG